CCCGCCGACCCCCGCCCGCTGCTGTCGGCGGGCGGCGTCGGCTTTGTTAGGTATTTATAGGTTGCCCAGGTGGCGCCCGCGTACAGGGCGCCGCCGGTGAGTATGTGGGAGAGTCGCACGCCCACCATCGCTGCCCCGCGCGCGTGTGCACGCCGGCCCGCTTCTCGCGCTGCGTGGCTGCGGATGCGCTACGTCGGGTGCTGCTGCGGTTGCAAAAAGTTGGACGGCGGGCTGCGGGATGAGGCGCGTTCAGCTAATGAAGATCAATCGCGTCGTTTTCTTAATACGAATGCGCGCGCAGCGGCGCAGTGCGGCAGATCACTCGTTGATCGGCGTGGTCGGCACCCGAATGCGTGTGAAAGTAAATGAAAATAAATGAGACTATGAGCAAAATCCTTTTAAATATGCAAGTGCAGATCGAGCGCGGTACCAAAGACCATGGCCGACAGTCACGGCGTCACCAGCAATCGGGCACCCCCAGCACCTCCCCAACGCGCCGAGCGCCGTCTTCTGTCTCAGGCAGGGCTTTGCCAGCGCTCTTGGACGCTCAATCAATGACGTCCACTTGCTTCCGGCGGCGGAAGCGCCGCCGCCATGGCCGCCCTGACGCTCGCTCGCCACTCGAAACCGCCCCACATCACAGCCCACCCACTCCGACACCCCCCCCTCCTCTTTCTACGGCTCGCGTATCGCATTACACACAGCAGGCTCGACACATCGTATATAATGTTACGTATGTCACCCTTAGTCACTCCCTGAAGACCTCTGTGAGCTCGAAGGCCGCCCTGGGGGCCTTGGGGTGTTCGGCCTCGTGCGCCCGCCGCTTGCCGCGCGCCGCGACCTGCGGAGCGCGCATGAGCAGGGGCACCGGGCAACACATGATGAAATAACATGTCGAGGGTCCCAAGGCGCGGGCAGGGCGCCCGCGGGGCGGAGCTCGCGCGCGCAGGGATTCGCATGGCGCAGGGCGGCAGCAGCGCCGCGCCGCGCTGGTGCGGAGCGCCGCGCTCAGGGGATTGGGGGGGGGGGGGCTGGCGTGTTCCTGTTCCGCGGCGAGCCCATGGCGCTAGCTCAATTTCAGACAATTGAAGATGAGGTGGTCTGTATCATACAACACCTCGCTGCAAGGCGATGCGCAGGAGGCCCCGCAGGTTTTTTTGGGCCGCACCACCAAGCGCTGGCCAACAACCCCCCTGCCGTCCCCGGCCCCGCAGCGCCCGGGCCCGTGCCCGCGGCGGCCGCCCAGCCGCGCACCTTCGAATTGTACTTGCCCGCCGCCCGCTGCTTGACCATCCGCCGCAGCAGGTTGGGGGACACAAACGCCGGGTTCTCGTAGAGGGTAGCTCCGTGGAAGCTGCCGTCGAAGATCCTGATCGGCTGCAGCGCCATGCGGGGCCCGACCTGGCGGGACGCGGCGGCCGGGGGCGGCGGTTTTTGGGGCCAAAAAAGGTGTGGGAGGCGGCACAGCATGGCTGGTAGATCGGGGAGAGGGGCCGTCAGGGGCGGAGCACAAAGCGCCGGCAGGAATCTCTCGATGCAGCAGCTGGTCCGCCAAGGCGCTGCCGCTCGCGCCGCGTCGGCCTGGACGGCGACATGACGCTCCGCATGGCTTCACACGACCAAGTTTGACCGTGTTTGACCGTGTTTGACCGTGTTTGACTACCGGTCACGAACGTCAGACACCTCGAGGGCTCACCTCCACCAGTGTTGCGTTGTCCGCGTCCACCCGCTTCTTGTCCAGCGGCAGCACCACCTGTTGAAGAAGATGCAAAGCAGGAGACTGGTGTTGGAAAAACAATCAAGAAATTGGTGTGAGATCAGAACACAACACTCGGATGCAGGAAACTGAGGGTGGTGCTCAAATTGATTGCTTACAAAGGGTTGGATCATGCAGCTGGTGTGTGTGTGTGTGTGTGTGTGCATGCGGGTGTGTGTGTGTGCGTGCATGCGGGTGTGTGTGTGTGTGTGTGTGTGTGTGTGTGTGTGTGTGTGTGTGTGTGTG